CTTAGCAAAGAGCAAGAAACAGCCACTAGTTACTAAACAACTTAGAACAGTGGTGAGTATACATTTACAACAGAAAGCACAAGATTTACATTTATATTCTAAAACATGAGTTGACCCATTACACTGGGTGTAGGTTTTGGGGCAGGGAGACTAGCTACAGGTATTCAAGCCAAAGGTCTCTATCACCAGCTCTCTGTTGAGCTCCACCACAGAATAGATGAGATTATCCTCGCTGTTCATCTTCTTCAAAACCAAATTAAAAAAAAAAAATCAAATTAATAGCCTTGCAGCAGTCTCCCTTCAAAATCGCCGGGCTCTGGGTGTTCTGACACCTGAAAAAGGGGGCACCTGCGCTACCTGGGAGAAGAATGCTGTTACTTTATAAATGAATCAGGGATCGTGATTGTCAAGGTAAACAGCCTTCGCAATTGGTTGGAGCACAAACGCTCAGAACTAACATGCTGACAATCTTCCTCCTCATCATGGTCCGGTGGGGTGACATTTTCGGCTCATAGGCCCCATTTCTGCTTCCCCTCCTCAGCCCATCCATCACACTGGTAACGTGTTTACTTATAGCACCCTGCCTTTTCAAACTTTTTACAAGGTTCTTTCAATCTCGGATGCTAGCTTTCTTTTTCTTTTTGGCGGAACCGGGGATTGAACTCAGATCCTTGCGTTTGCCAGTCAAGCACTTATCCTACTGAGCCATCTCCCTGGCCCCTCGGATGCTAGCTTTCTAATGAAGAACTTGTAGTCCTGGCTAAAACACCTGGCCCTGCCTTCTACATGGGCATAAACTGTCATCCTGCCAACCCTCCTTGCTACCAAGATGACACCCCCGTTCAACAGGAAGCAGTCTAAGAGACTCGATGCCCCTTTTCATTGTTATGGGTCACTCAGGATAGGAACCAGATCAACCAGGTTGGAATTTGGAAAGCCATTTATTACTGAGCTCAGGGCCCCAGGTCTGCTGTCACGCAGGAGAGGACCAAAGGCCGCAGCCCAGGAAGCAGGAAGGGGTTTTAAAACCTGGAACCACATTGGGTTTGATAAGCAAATTCATTGTCTGACCACATTCAGTTTGGTAAACAAATTCATTGTCTGACACAAAATACTGCTTTTAGAGTGATTGGGACCACGACTCAAACTATATTTCCTGGGGCTTTTTTTTTTTTTTTTTTCAGTTTCTGGTTAATTTGCACCTGAATACCTGCAGGGAGCCTTGCATAGCCCGAAGTTACAAGAAGTTAAAGCCCATTTAGTTTCCTTTAAATCATCTCTGTAAGCTAACTTTGCAGACAGGAATTGGTGAGGGTTACAGGAATTGGTGAGGTAGGAATTTGATCTAGCAAACAGCAAGAAACAGCCACTAGTTACTAAACAACTTAGAACAGTGGTAAGTATCATCCTAATTGTTAGGTGAGTATAATTTATATTTTTAATTTTTTTTTATAACTTTTTTTTTTAATTTTATTTATTTATTTGGGTGGGGGCGGGGCTGGCTGGCATGTGGTGCTGGGGGATTGAACCGTGGTCCCTTTGGGTTGCTAAGCTTGTTCTAAGTAGGTGCTTTAGACCACTGAGCCATCTCACCAGCCCAATTTTTTTTTTTTTTTTCAGAACCGGGGATCGAACTCGGGCCCTTGCGCTTGCCAGGGAAGCGCTTATTCCACTGAGCCCTCTCTCTGGCCCCTAAATTTTTTTTTTTAACATTTTATTTATTCATTTGTGTGTGTGTGTGTGTGTGTGTGTGTGTGTGTGGCCAGCTCAGCCCACCAGGGCCCCCTAAATGTTTTTATTGGTACATGTTAGATATACATAATGATCACATTCGACATAGGGACTTCGTACTGTACCTAATGTCATTTGCTTTTCCCCCATTCTCCTCCCCTCCCTTCAACTCTTCTTCCCTTCCTTATTCACAAAAGCTTTATCAATATTCTTCTATACTTTTCTTGTCCCTTCTTTCCTTTCCTCCTCTCCCCTCTCCTGCTCCCTTTCTCATTTAAACATTTTCATTTTCGTTCCTTTTCCCAATACCTATTTTACACTTTGGTCCTTATTTACACTTTTGGTTTTTCACAGCAGAGAAATAATGCAGTATTTAAACATTTAAATACCGTCGTGTCAGGATTGGGGATATAGCTCTGTGGTCTAAGTGCCTTCCTGGCAAGTGCGAGGACTGAGGTTTGATTCCCGGTACCACATGCTGTGCCACTGAGCAGGCCACTGAAACAGGGCATGATGGTGCACATCTGTAATCCCAGCACTGGGGAGGCTGAGACAGGAGGATCGCTTTGAGTCCAAGCTATATTGTGAGACCCTGTACCAAGTAAATAAAAAATAAATAAATAAACACATATGTCTGATTCATTTCCCTTAAGAGTATAGATTCAAGGGGCTGAGGACTTAGCTCAGTAGCACAGCACCTGCCACCTAGCTAGGTCCTGAGTTTGATTCCCAGTACAAAAACAAAACAAAACAAAAAGGAAAAAGAATATAGGCTCAAGGTGCATCCATTTAGCTGGAAATGTTTCAAGCTTATCCTTCTTTACAGCAGTGTAGCACTCCATTGCATAGAAATATCTTCTTTATTGTTTAATGGGCACTTGAGCTGCTTCCAAGATTTAGCTGTTACACACTGTACCACTGTAAACACAGGTACATGTATATTGCAGTGACATGATGCTTTTCTTTATTTATATTTTTCTTTTGTGTAAGATACCAAGAAGGGGAATAGCTAGCTTGAATGGAACCTCTAGTTCCTTTAGGTTTTTGAGTGAGTGTATGCAGAAAATACTTGGGGAACACCAGCCTGCACACCCATCAACAGTGGAGAAGGGTTTCTTTTCCCCACAGCCCCTCCAGCATCTGTCATTGATTGATTTTTTGATGATAGCGGTTCTTTCTGAGCTGAGATGAAATCTTAGTGTTGTTTTAATTTGCATCTCTTGAATGACCAGTGATGTTGACATTTTAAAAATATATTTATTTACCATTTGTATTACTTCATCTGAAAAATGTCTATTCATCTTAGATGCCCATATTTGGATTGGATCTTTGAATTTGGGAAGTCTGATTTTTTTTTTTACTTTATTATATGGATTTCATAGTAATCCTGTGTCTGAGGAACAGCTGGGAAAATTTTTTCCCACACTGTGGAGTGTCTCTTCACTCCATTGGTGACTTCTTTGGCTATGCAAAAGCTTTTGAATAAGATAAGACCCCAGTGTTGATTCTTTGTGGCATTTCCTGTGTGTTATCATAACGTCTATTTTGTTCATAAAGTTTTGTTTGTAAAGTCTTTGCCTCCACCAATTTCTTCAAGAGTTCTGCCTATTCTATCTTCCAGCAGATTTAGTGTCTTTTTTTTAAATTTTATTTGTGTGTGTGTGTGTGTGCGCGCGCGCGCGTGTGTCCAGCTCAGCCCACGGGGGGGGGGGCGGGGCTGGCTGGCATGTGGTGCTGCTGGATTGAACCACAGTCCCTGTGCTTTGCTAAGCTTGTTCTAAGTAGGTGCTTTAGACCACTGAGCCATCTCACCAGCCCTCGTGTCTCTGTTTTAATATTTATTTATTTAGAGACAAAGTCTTGCTATGTAATGCAGGCTGGCCTTGAGCTCACTTTGTAGCCCAGACTGGTCTCAAACTAGCAAGGATCCTCCTGCCTTAGTCTCCTGAGTGCTGGGATTACAGGTGTGCGCAACCATGTCTGGCCCATTTTAGTTTTAGTTTAGTGCATGGTGAAACACATGGATTAGTTTTAATTGTCATCATTGTGTGGAAAGCCAGTTTTTCCAGCATCACTTATTAAAGAGGCTATCTTTTTTCCAATGAATGTGTTTGGCACTTTTGTCAAAGACAAAGGGGAGGGGGAAAGATAAAGGGCCTGAATATATCTGGAGTTGTTTCTGCATCTACTAGAGAAGCACTTTTTTTTTTTTTTTTTTTTGCGGAATGGGGAATTGAACTCAGGCCCTTGAGCTTGCCTTGGAAGCGCTTATTCCACTGAGCCATCTCTCCGGTCCGATCCTTTGTTTCTGCATTTACTAATCTGTTCCATTGATCTCTGAGTCTGTTTTTGCCAGTTCCACGCTGCTTTTATCACAGTAGCTTTGTAGTATAATTTCAAGTCAGGGATTGTGATGGCCCCTGCCTTGCCTTTGTCCACAGTTGTGTTTGCTATTCTAGGTCTCTTTTGTTTCCAAATGAATTTTAGGATTGTTTTCTGTAATTACATGAGATATCCTGTTGGTATCTTGATTGGGTATACATTAAATCCATAGAATAATTTTGGAAGTATGGCCATTTTCACTACATTGGTTCTTCCTACAGAAGAACAAGCATATCTTTCCATTTTCTGATATCCTCCTCAATCTCTCAGGTGAGTATGCTTTAAAAAAAACCAAAACCCAAATCCAAACCAGATACTGGACCTTCCAACAATGGCCTTAGATGCACCTAAATTGCGAAGGCAACAGGGGGTTCAGCCCTCTCCTGGGTTTGGGGAAGAACCAATCAGAAAGCTTCTCAAGCGAAAACCTTGCTTACTCTTATTCCGCTGCCTCCTGGGAATTGTAGTTCTGGTGACACACTTCCGGGCTATGTGACCCTTCACAGCTACCGTCGGCCGCTGAACCATAACTCTCAGCAGGCGCCGTAAGCGCATGCGCGTTGCAGGCGCCCAGGCGGGCAGCATGGCTGCCTTGCGCTGGGGCCGAGGTGCCGCGGAGCTCAGCAGGGCACTGCGGGCTCCGGGCCACCCCTGCACCACGGCCAAAGAAGGTAACCTAGCTCTGGTTTCACGGTCTGGGGCGACTTTTCAGCCTCTGCTTCTTCTGCTGCAAGGCTGTGACCTTCGACTTTCTCTGGCCAGAATCTCCCAACCTTTACCCTTTGCCCTGCAGAAGCCTGGAGAACCTCAAGGATAGACCTGAGTTTCTCGCCCCGCCTCCTCAGGGGAGTCCACTCCGCAGAGGATGTTGACTTTTGACTCTTGGTCCAAGACCCCAAACCCTTTGACAGCTAACAGTTCCCACTGATTTTAGGGCCCCTTTGCTCTTTGACGTTGCAGTTTGTCCATGAAGGACCCCTAGGCTCCCTTCATCCTCCTTCGTCTCTCCCCAGGGATCCTCGGTGGTCTCTGGGGACCCAGAATGAACTCGTCCGCCAGTCCCTGTGAGCAAGAACGCCTCAAGGACTGGAGCCGTGTGGAACTGCTGGAAGGTGAGTGGCGCTCCATCCTTTGCTGAGGTCGACCCCAGGGTCCCCACAAGAAGGGAACAGGCTACCTAGTATACAGAGACAAGCCTGAGACTCAGGGTGTGGTCCTCAGGGTCAACTGGGATGGTGACATAGGGTGGCACTGACTGAGGAATCCCACGTGTGTCCTCCTGGCTCTTGTCATGTGCCAGGCTGGCTCCAGGCTCTTGATTCTCCCACCTCAGAACTCCACTAGGGCTCCTGCTTCTAGGGAGATAGGTGAGGCTGTAAATTAGCCCCGTAGGCATGTGTAGCTGCACATGTAAAACTGAGTTGAACCTCAAGCGCCCAAATCTGCTTTAAAGGTTGGGTGACCAAATCCATCTGACAAGGTGACCAAGGGCCTGTGGTCAGAGGGAGGCGTGGTGTCTTTGTGCTTCTTCCCTCTTGTCCAGGTTAGTGTCGAGCACCTAGGCTCCCCTTCATGTCCACATTCTGAGTGTAGGAGGCAGTCAGCCGGGGAGGCGAAGGGAGCCTGTAGGGAGAACTTGATAGTGTAAGAAACTATAGAAAAGTCTAACATATGAGAGCAAAGAAAGGTACAGTCCCCTTCCACCCTCAACAGCAGGGTTCCCTGTCTTACCTGCCTACTTGTTTTACAGTAGGCTCAGACTCATCATCTAACCAGAGGGACATCCCAAAAATCATTTATTCTCCAGCTTGTCCTCTCCTGAGCAGAATTCACAGCTCTCCATTCTGTGGGCCACGGACCCACCTCCTGCAGCAGCCAACTCTAGCCTTTCTGTCAGAGAGGAATGGGCCATTCCGGCCCTAAGGCCTTTGCACATACTTCTACCCTGCTTCCTGGTGGCTCTGACGTCTCACCTCCCAGGCCTCCGCTCAGTTGTTACCTCCCCTGGAGAAATCCCTACCACGTCTGTCTCATTTCCTTCTCTGTGCTTTCCATCCACTTTTTTACTGAAAGAAATCATGTGAGATTTGGAATATTGTGAGAACCAAAAATCACTATTATTTGTTCATTTCATTGCAAAACAAGTCTCTCCTGAGCCCTTTCCAGTGCTGCCCTGTGGCACTTGGGCTGGGGTCTAAGTGAGGAGGCGGAGTGTAGAGTGGGTATAGTTGGATCTCGCTACCCCAGCATTGTGTGTTTGCACACCTACATGCCCACTCACATGAGTGTGCCACCTGGAAACCACTCCTTGCACAGAAGGAGCATTTGGCTGGGTCACCACGAGGTGCTGGCCTGTGTTCCCTGTGCTTATATTATAAACAAGGGTCCTTTGTGTGACATGTTTTTTTTTTTTTTTGAGACAAGGTCTCACTAGGTAGTTTAGGCTGGCTTGAACTCACTGGGTAGCCCTGACAAGCCTCGAACTCATTGGTACTCCTCCTGCCTCAGCCTCTTGAGAGCTAGGATTATAGGTGTGTATTGCCACACCCAGGTTATATGACATGTTCAATGCATGTTTTTTTTTTTTTTTTTTTTTTTTTTTTTTTTTGGCGCAACCAGGAGTGCAAGTTTCTTGCATGTTTGTGACTTCATGTGTTGGTCTTTCTGATTTGTTTTGTTTTTTGTTGTTGTTGTTGAGATAGGGTGTGGTTATATAGTTCAGGCTGGCCTTGAACTTACTATGTGGTCCAGGTTGACCTCAAACTTGCTTACACGGGTGCTTCACCACAGCTGGCCTGGTGTTGGTGTTTTGAGAGAGCATCTCACTGTGTAATCCAGGATCGCCTTGAACTCACTGTGTAGTCCAAGCTGGTCTTATAATTGCAGTGATCTTCCTGCCTCGGCCTTCAGAGTGCTGGGATTGTAGAGCTGTGCCACCATGCCCAGCAGTATTGCTGTGTAGAATGGGCCCCATGTGAAGAGGCGCTGACATGTAGTCCTTCAGGAGAGAATGAAGTTGTTAGATCAGCTCCATTCACACATGAGTTCCAGAGCTGTAGCTCATGAGTTCACCATGAGTGAATGAGCGTGTTATATTAAACAAGGGCTTTTAAAAAAATTTAGAAATGTTTTTTGAAACAGGGTCTCATTATGTAGTTCAGCTGGCCTTGAACTCATTATGGAACCCAGGCTGGTTTTTTTTTTTTTTTTTTTTTTTTGGGCAGAACCAGGGATTGAACTCTGGCCCTGGCTTTGAACTCAGAACAATCCTTCTGCCTGAGCCTCTCGAGTGCTGCAATTATGGGAGTATGCATCACATCCCCTTTTAAAAATTTATTGTACTCAATCAATCTGCCCCCCCCCAACCAGGGATTGAACTCAGGTCCTTGCGCTTGCCAGGCAAGCATTTACTCTACTGAACCATCTCCCTGGCCCCCTCGATCTCGATCTCGATCGCTTGCCAGCCCTCCCTTCCTCTTCTTCCCTCCCTCCCTCCTTCCACATTTGGTACAGGATCTCACTGTGCAGCCCAGACTCTTAGTGATCTTCCTGTTTTCAGCCTCCCCAGTGCTGTGATTACAGGCATACACCACTATGCCTGGTCTCTGTGGCCTTCAGCACACCTAAGGGTGGGGCAGGCACGCCATGTATGTGATCTCTCTAACAAAAACCAATCTGGCTATTTAAAAAAAAACAATTTGGAGGGCCAGCCAGAGGCCAGATAGCTCAGTGGATTAAAGCACCTTTGCTTAGGCAGATGCAGGGACTGGTGTTCGATCCCAGCATTCTGTGCTGGAGCCTACCCCCAGGGCACGCTGAGACTGGATTGAGACTGGGCGTGGTAGCTTGTACCTGTAATCCCAGCACTTGGCAGGCTGAAAACAGGAAGATCACTATGAATCTGATCTGTGTAGTGAGACCCTGTAGACCTTGTACTAAATACATAAAAACAAAATTTGGCTATGCAGTTTAGGCTTACTGTCAGTTCACTCTGTAGCCCAGTCTGGCCTCAAACTCAAGGTGATTCTCAGCCTCCCAAGTACTAGGGCTACAGGCATGTGTCATTGTGCCTACCAAGAAGGGATCTTTTATTTATTTGATTCTAGGCATTGAACTCAGGACCTTGTTCTTGCCAGGCAGGTGTTAATGCTACTGTGCTATATCCCCAGCTAGAAGAGGTCTTTTTTTTTTTTTCTTTAAGGGATCTTTATTTTTATTTTTTGGCTGAACTGGGGATTGAACTCAGGCCCTGGTGCTTGCCAAGAAAGCGCTTATTCCACTGAGCCATCTCCCTGGGCCCCTTTAAGGGATCTTTAAAGAGAAACCTAAAACAGAATTGTGTATGGTCACCTGATAAAAACATGACTGGAGCTGGGTGTGGTGATGCACACCTGTAACCCCCACAGCAGGAAGGTGAGGCATGTGGATCACAAGCTCAAGGCCAGCCTAGGCTACTTAGAACTCATCTCAAAAAATTCCAAAATACAGCAGCAACAAAAAGTGACCGGAGATGCAGGAGCCGGGCTTGCCTGTCTCCCAGGAGTAGCAGCTCAGCGCCAGGCAGTGGCATTGTCTGTGGTGGTGTAGAACAGCCCAGCAAAGATGCAAAGCAGCAGTGTGAGGATGAGCCAGGCGGGTCTGCACTCAGTGGGTCACAGTTAAGACTGGAAATACGCAACTCAGGGCCAGCTGAGTGTTCAGGGAGAGGCAGAGAACATGCAAAGGCCCTGAGATAACAGAGTGAAGCAGCAGCGCTGGAGCAGAACAAGTGAGGGGCAGACCAGGATCAAGGTGTAGCGTGGGGCAGGGTCAGGCAGGAGGTGCCAGGGGCTGTGCCTGGGTACCTGGAGAAAGAAGGACCAGTGATGGAGAGACGTGGGAGAGCTGGCTGAGGAGGACTCCAGAGATGACCCAAGAGGGTGGGGACAGGTATAAGCATGACTTCAGGGCCATACTGGGAAGCGAGATGTGGCCACAGTGGCTCTTGTTACTTGGGGCGTCTGCTCTGACACTGAGCAACTCCCCCCCCATGCTTTTTTCAGTGTTGGAGGCCCGAGTGCGGCAGCTACAGGCTGAGAGTGTGTCTGAAGTGACAGTGAAAAGGGTGGAGGTGGCTCGAGTCCCAGCTGACGGTGGCAGAGCTGGTGGCATCCTACCACCTACAAAGGCCCAGCCAAAGGTCAGTGGGGGCTGGGCAAGGAAGCTGGACCAAGATCAGCAGGTGCTGCAGAGGCGGCAGAAGTTACTGCAGGAGAAACTGCAGGTGCATGGTCAGTTCCCAGCCCCCAAGTACAAGCCCAAGTTTAAGTTCAAGGCTAAGGCCAAGGGCAAAGCCAAGCCCATGGCCACAGACAAGCCCTCCACCAAACCTGTGGCCACTTCCACAGCTACCACCAAGCCTATGGCCATAGTCAAGCCCATGGCCACAGACAAGCCCTCCACCAAACCTGTGGCCACTGCCACAGCTACATCTATAACTTTGGCTGCGCCTATGGTGACCAGGTCAACAGCTGTACCCAGCAGCAACCCCAAGCCCAAAGCCATACCTATGACTGCACCCAAGACTGTGGCCACGTCCACAGCCACACCCAAGGCCCAGGCCAAGTCCACAACCATGTCCACAGCTGAACCCACAGTCACATCCATGGCTGTACCTAAGGCCAAGCCTGAGGCCATGTCCACAGCCACACCCAAGGCCAAGCATGTAGCCTTGGCCCAGCCATCACTTGCTGAGCGTCAGCTGGTGAGCAAGCAGCAGGCCAGCAAGAAATACAGGCGGAAGGGAGCTGCGACGGAGACTGAGCAGGACACCTGGGAGGAGTGGGTGCCCTCACAGCCATGGGCGACCTCTCAGAAGCTGAGTGGCTGTGACACACGGGCTCCGCTGAAACTGAACCTGGAGCAGCAGGCACAGCAACAGAGGCTCCAGGTTTTCCTCGAGTGCTGTCTGGCCAGTGGGCATGTGGCCCTGGCCCACCACATGCTGGTCAGCCACCTTGCCCGGCCGCACAAGCAGTGCTTGCTCACCCAGGCCATGTACAACACCGTCATGCTCGGCTGGGCTCGCAAGGTAAGGGCCTTGTGGGAGGACACCTGCCCTGTCCCTTATGTGCCAGCCCTTGCCTTGTGTCCCCAAAGTTCAAGTTTTGGAATTGGTCATTTGTTTTGAGACAAGATCTTATTAAGTCAGAAAGTTGTCCTGGTTGAGCTTGAGCTTGGGCTTTTCTGCCTCTGCCTCCCACATAGGTAGGATGACAGGTGAGCCCCATCACAAATCCTTTGTTCATTATATTGATAATTACTTTAGGCTTTTCAAGTATGTCACATGAAGTTTTGAAAGTGATCAAAAAGGGAAGGACATTCTGTCCCCATGGCATTTTTTCTGGCTTGACCTATCCAAGCCTTTATTTGTTTGCTTGGTTTGTTTGTCTGTCTGTTTTGTCTTTTTGAGACAGTCTCACTGTATATTCAGGCTGGCCCTGAGCTCTCTTTGTAAACCAGGCTGGTTTTGAATTCACAAGGATCCTCCTGTCTCAGCCTCCTTGAAATTATAGTTGTGCACCACCACACCTGGCTCAGAAAATAATTTAATAAGTCCTTGCTGCGCTGAGAGATGTATACCTCTTGGCGATGTTAGGTGGGCCCATCTGTCCACTTAACTGCCTCAGTCCCCCACCCTAAATCAGTGGTTGGAAGTAGCACAAGTGAGGAGACTCGTACTGTCCCTGGGACCCTTACCCTGGCATGGTGTCCCCAGGGTGCCTACAAAGAACTCGTGTCTGTGCTGACGATGATGAAGCACAGCAGCTTTACCCCGGACCTGCTGTCCTACGCCTCCATCCTGCAGTGCATGGGGCGGGTGGACCAGGATGTCGCCGTTATCCAAAGGTAAGTGGATGGTGCTGTCCCAGAGCACAGCAGGCTCACGTAGACCTGCAGAGTGAGCCAGAAGTGTACACAAGGTCCCCTGGGGTGGGCTTCAGCGTGCCCATCCACTGTGTGCCTCTCTGTGCCCGAAGGTGTCTGGAGCAGATGGCCCAGGATGGCCTGCAGCTGGAGCAGCTGTTCTTGGAGGAGACCCTCTCTAATGAGGAGAGGGCCATGCTGCTGCGGGCTGTGCTCAAGGCTGAGCCCAACTTCCGCCCGCCACAGCCTTCACCGCAAGTTAACACTTCAGTGCTGCTCAGCGAAGTCTATGCCAAGGTGAGCTGGGCAGAGCCTGTGCCCAGGCAGAGTGGCAGCCCCAGTGCAGCACACAGGTCACCCTACTCTTTGGAACACACTGGCTGCTGCCAACTCTGGATTCCTCCCTCCCTGTTTCATGCACATTCAAGGAGCCAGAGCCAGTTTCAGCCTTAGGGTGGCACGGGGTGGGTATGGGCAGGGTGTGACCCTCACCACTAGGGGTCACCAGGTAGGTGGCTCTAGGATTTATCTGTTCCTGAGGTAGCTTTCCCCGGCCTTCCAGGCCACCCTTTTTAGAGTATTATTTCTCAGAGGGTTTGGATGTGGTCATCCAGCCCTGTAGCTGCCACTACTGCCTAAATCCAAAATGTTTATTTGCAGCAAAAGAAGCCCCTTCCCTGTGAGAGTTACCCATCCCTTCCCCAGTCACAGCACCCATAAGGCTACTTCCTGTCTGGATTCGCCTGCCCTGAGGGTTTCCTGTCCATGAAGCCCACACTCTGTGTCCTCTGTGTTTGGCATCTGTCGCTGTGCAGTGTTCCTAAGGTCTGTCTTTGCTGTGGCAAGTGTCACAGCTGTCTTCTTGTCCTGGCTGAGTAATATTCCAATCTGGATGGTCCTGGGCCAATTTTACCTTCTGGCTGCTGTGGGCAGATGTAGTTGAAGCTGGCATTGAACTCACTGTGTAACCAATGTGGCCCTAAACTGTCAGTGATCCTCTTGTCTCAGCCTCCCCAGTGCTGACAATAGGCATGCACCACCACACTTGGCTTTTTGTCCCACCCCTGTTTTTTGAGACAGAGTCTTGATATATAGTCCAGAGTCCTGCCGTGAGTCCTGCCTCAGCGTCCCAAGGGCAGAGATCACAGGTGTGTGCCACTACACTCAGCTCTTACTCCAATTTTTAGCTTAGCTTGTCTGCTTTGGGAAAGTTACACATCCATACCATGTCAGGTGTGCAAAGAAAATATCCAGCATCCAGGGACCCAGAACTGCAGCCTCTGGTTCTGACCCCTTGGGCAACAGACCAGAGTCACTGGCAGGAGGCAAGGCCATGGCCATACAAGAAGGGCAAGCTGGGTGTCTCCCTGGGCTCACCTCTTGCTGTACCCACAGGAAGGCCCCGTGTCCTACCCAAGGCTGCACCTCCCCCTAGAGACCCTACAGGCCATGTTCCAGCAGCAGCTAAATGTGGAGCTGGCCAGCAAGGTCCAAGTCGAGTCTGTGGAGAAGGTCTTGTCACCCACCCAGGAGACCCTTGCGACGGTAAGCGTGGGTTCTGTGCCACAGGTCCCATAAGCCCAACATGGAACACTGTTCCCACTGGCCTGTGTGTTTATGTGACCAGCCTCATCCCTGACCCCTGCAGCGGAAGACCCTGGAGACCCTGCGCAGGACATGGGAGGCCAAGCTGCGCAACAAGCTGCAGGCAACCAAGGCCCACCTGGCCGAGGCAACACACCAGGGCCGGCTCACACTGTACCCTTTCCTGTGTGTGCTCCCCGAGGACGAGCTGGTGCAGATGCTCATACAGGTGACACCCTATTCCTGGGGGTGGGGGCAGGGCTGGGGGGCAGCTACTAATGCCTCTGCTGTGCCCCCAGCTTCTGTTCTCGCTGCCTGCCCAGGGCGAACCATTCGTGCATGTGGTACACCGGCTGGCCGTACAGACCTTCCAGCGGCACACTGTGCAGCAGAGGCAGCGCCGAGGCCAGCTGCAAGTGCTGGAGCAGCGGTACACGCAGTACCTGCAGCTGCTTGCCTCTGACAGCCAGGTGCCTCTCTCCCCTTCTCCCTTCTTTCTCCCTGACTTTCCAGAGCAGGCACAGAAGCCCAGGCCTGTTTCCCCAGGTGTGAACTGGGTGCGGCTGGGTGCTTAGGTCAGAGGTCTGACTTGTCCCCACAGATGACTGACCCCCGCCTGCCCCGGCAGCACTGGGAAGCACTGGGGCCGCCTGAGCCGCTGCCACCACAGCTCTGGCCCCTGACAGAGCTCCTACCATTGGGCAAGCTGCTTGTGGAGATCCTGGTGCAGTCAGTGCAGCTGCCATCCAGCCTGGCGCCCCCCCAGAGCACCTCCCAGCCGGTCCCAGTGCTGTACCATGTGTACACCTTCCGTGGCGTCCGCCAGGTGCGTGGGCCAGGTGCTCCCAGCCATGAGGTTGCAGGGCATTACCCAGGGGTCCCTTTGCGCCTGCAGGCGCTGCTTCTCCATCGTCACCTCGCTCTCAGCTGGTGTGTGGCAGTCGGCAGTCTGAGCCAGGGTCTTATTGCCTACCTGTCTGGCTCCCCTAGATCGGCCTCCTGAGGCCACACCCAGCCTTCATCAAGCTGCTGGAGAATGCTGCGGAGCCTGTGCTGATCTTTGAGGCGACTGACATGCCCATGCTGTGCCCTCCGCTGCCCTGGACTTCGTCACAGGCTGGAGGCTTCCTGCTGAGCGCCACCAAGCTGATACGCTCTGTCGAGGGCTCAGTGCAGCACCTGCACCTGCTGGAGAACTGCCCACCTGCTGAGCTGCATGGCGCCCTAGATGCCCTCACACAACTGGGCAACTGCGCCTGGCGCGTCAATGGGCGCATCCTGGACCTGGTGCTGGAGGTCTTCCACAACAAGGGCTGCACTCGCCTGGGTGTCCCCCCACCCACCTCTGAGGCACCACGCCCACCGGTGGACCACCTACCACCCAATGCCCCACCAGAGCGCAAGGCCCAGCTGCGGCAGGAGGTGGCCCGCTGCCTGAAGATTGCACGTGAGATGCATGGGCTGCGGCAGGAGGCCCTGTACCGCTTGTCGCTGGCCCAGCACCTGAGGGACCGAGTGTTCTGGCTTCCACACAACATGGACTTCCGTGGCCGCACTTATCCCTGCCCACCGCACTTCAACCACCTGGGGAGCGACCTGGCGAGGTCTCTGCTGGAGTTTGCCCAGGGCCGCCCTCTTGGTCCCCATGGCCTCAACTGGCTCAAGATCCACCTGGTTAACCTCACTGGGCTCAAGAAGCGTGAGCCACTGCGCGCCCGCTTGGCCTTTGCTGACACTGTGATGGATGACATCCTGGACTCGGCTGACTGTCCCATGACGGTGCGCTGAACTCCCACTCCTGACTGTCTCCTGTCTCCTCTGACCCTTATAGCCCCTGTCCACTCTGGCTCTGGCTACCTCTCTACTTTTCCTGTCCTGCTTCACAACCAGGGGCACATGTCCAGTCCTTTCCCTTCTTTGAGTCCCTTTTCTCTGCTTGTGTCCTGAGCTGAGCCTACAGTCTGGTCTTGGCCTCCCGCATCCCCTGCAGGGCCGGAAGTGGTGGATGGAAGCTGAGGAGCCCTGGCAGACACTGGCCTGCTGCATGGAGGTGGCCCAGGCTGTGCGGTCCCCAGACCCCACTGCCTATGTTTCCCATTTGCCTGTTCATCAGGTGGGTGCTAGGTAGCTCCACTGTGGGCTCCCCAGTTGTATACTGGGTTGGAAGTCTAGCTTTGGGGGTGTCCATGCTTGCATGTGTTCTCTAGTTCCCTGCATGGTGGGGGACAGACACAGATGATGGGGGAAGTTGTTTGGGTCACAGCTATCCCCACACAGGATGGCTCCTGCAATGGCCTGCAGCATTATGCCGCCTTGGGTCGTGACAGTGTGGGTGCTGCTTCTGTCAACTTGATGCCTTCGGATGAGCCGCAGGATGTGTACAGTGGGGTGGCTGCACAGGTGGGTGGCCCCACAGCCTTACAACATAGAGCTCGACCCCGGGCAGGGGTGAGACAGGAGGCCAGGACTTTGCTCCTTCACAGCACTGACTGCCTGCTGCCACTGCCACCACAGGTGGAGGTATTCCGCGCTCAGGACGCGCAGCAAGGCGTAAAGGTGGCTCAGGTGCTAGAGGGCTTCATCAGCCGCAAGGTGGTGAAGCAGACAGTCATGACCGTGGTCTACGGTGTTACCGTCTACGGTGGGCGCCTGCAGATTGAGAAGCGCCTCCGTGAGCTCAGAGACTTCCCACAGGTATGAGACCCCAGCCCCACCTGATCTGTCCTGTTGCTGTCCCAGGCCCTGTTCCTTCACTGAAAGTGGCCACAGTGGCCCCACTCTGGGGTTGGCAGGTCCTGTGGCTTCCCTCTCTAGGAATGACAGGGTCCTGGAGGCCCCTGCTTTGGGCCTGGCTGAGGAAGGGGTCCTCCATCCACTGCTCCAGGCTGGGTGTGGGAAACACAGGTACAGACCCCACCTTGTCCTCAGGTCTTTGTGTGGGAGGCCTCCCATTACCTTGTGCACCTGGTCTTCAAGAGCCTCCAGGAGATGTTCTCAGGGACCCGGACCATCCAGGTATGTCAGCATGTCCCATCTGTTTTGCCCAGCTCAGGCCTACCCCATGAGGGTGAACTGAGCTGGTGCCTGTGTCCCGCAGCGCTGGCTGACCCAGAGTGCCCGGTTAATTGCCCAGACTGGCTCGGCCGTGGAGTGGGTGACACCCTTGGGCATCCCCATTGTTCAGCCCTATCATCAGGAGTCCAAGCTGGTGGTACGTGAGCTCCTGTGTACTCTCTGGCTGCTGTCCCTGATCTGGGCCTGGTACAGAGCTCATAATCCCACTGCCCACCCCAACTGCAGATCAGAGGCGGCCTCCAGAGCATCACCTGGAACAGCTCCGTGGATACCAGCCAGTGAGCGAGGGCCTGGGCCTGGGTGACCTCCAGGGAGGGAGCTCCGGCCCAGCTCCGCTCCGCTCAGCCCAGCCCCGGCTGGCCTCTTCCCCAGGAAGCCCAACTTGTTGAAGCAGAAGAACGGTTTCCCGCCCAACTTCATCCACTCATTGGACTCCTGCCACATGATGCTCACAGCCCTGCACTGCTACAGGTGGGCCCTGCTGTCCTTGTGCCACCGTGGCACGCCAGGCCCTTGCTGTCCACAGGCCAAGGCCAGCAGATGGACACTGTTCACAGGGTCAGGGCAGGGTGGGCTCTGTGCTTGCTTATCTGTTGGGGAGTGTCTATGTGCAAAGGCCCATAGGCAGTGAGGCATCTGTCCTGGGGAGGGCGAGGTCCCCAGGGAACATGGAAGAGGGAAGTCGTCCTGGGTCTCAGGAGCTGGAGCGGTGTGAACAGCTGTGGCCTGGGATGGAGCTGTGGGTGGTGGAGAACGTGCTCCTATGTGGCAGACCAGGCTGTGAGCTGACCCTTTTCCTCCAAGTAGATTGTAGGGACTGGTGAGCTAAGGGTGTGAGCCAGAGGTGCATGGGGAGGGGCCAGGGCTGGCACCCCACCCCCTTCACGGGCACCCCTCATGCTGCAGAAAGGGCTTGACCTTCGTCTCTGTCCACGACTGCTTCTGGACACATGCATGTGACATCCCCGTCATGAATCAGGTGCGTTGGTCTCCAGCCTATGTGTCCCCTGGCTGCTGCTCAGGTCCCTGTCTCACTGAGGCGCCTGGCATGCCTTCACAGGTATGCCGTGAGCAGTTCGTGAGGCTGCACAGCCAGCCCATCCTGGAGGACCTGTCTGCCTTCCTGATAAGGCGCTTCTGCCCCACAGACAGGTGAGCGCTACCCCTACCCTAACCCTGCCCCTATTCGACCCTTGGGCCTGGCCTTATACCGTGCCCTCCTCCAGCACTGAGCCCGGGGCAGGCCACACGCACACCACCAAGCTGCTAGAGACGCTGCGATCTGTGCCGCAGAAAGGTATGGTACAGAAAGGCCCGCGTGGGTGGTGCGGCCTCCTCCCACACGTGCCTGCCTGTTCATGCACAGCCTGGCTCTCCACAGGAGACTTCGACCTGGAGCAGGTGAAGGGCTCCACCTACTTCTTCAGCTGACGCAGGCCCTGCCCGCTATCTCAGGGCGCCCCATGAAGAGTGTAAATAAAGTCTGTCGCCACCCACGGAGCTGCTTTGTGCAGGGGACTGTGTGCGCCCTTGCTGAGCAATGAGACGCGGCGCGCCGGGCGCCAGTGCTGTCGTTTATTGCGCGGAATGGGGGCGAGGGTTAATGGGGCGCGGGGGCCGCTGTGTGCGCTGCTGCCTCGGCTGTCAGTACATTCATCGCGACGGCGGGGACCCGGCCTGAGTGGCCGGGATGCCCACCCCTGGTGCCGGTGCTGGAGGAGGGGGATAGGGAGCGGTCACGGCAGGACGCACAGGACGGGGACGGGCCGGTTATTGCGTGAGCGCGGAAGGGACAGTGGGAAGCCGGCGGGCACCTACCAGGGCAGTCGTGCGGCCTCCGCAGCCATCTCCTCACAGCCAGGGGTCGGCCCTGTCCCCGCCTCCGGCAGGGGGGTGGGAAACTGAGGCACCGAGGTGAAGGGAGCCCCTCGCTTGGCGGCGCGGCTGCCCCCAGGGCGGGGCAATGTAGATGGGCGTGGACAATGGGGGGACAGCCGGGCGTGAGGACTGCCCGCCGCCCGTCCGATGCAACTACCTACGTCCCTCTATGGCTTCTGCGCGGCGGGCGGGGAGGGCATGGCTTTGGTCTGGATGAGGCCCCGCCCGGCCGGTGGCCCGCGGGGCAGCGCGCGAGGGTCACAAGTTGGACGAGAGGCGCGAGCGCGCGGAGTCCAGCGGGTCGAGGCCACCGGTGGCGCTGGGTGATGCAGAGTCCCTGCGGTCCGGGCTGGGGGCAGCAGCACGCGTAGCGGGCGCAGGCCCCAGGCGCGGCGTGGAGCTGCTGGCCGGGCGCGCCGAGCTCGCGGGCCCTGGGCCGGGTGCACCGTGGGGCAGCGAGGGCTGTGAGGCCGACAGCGGGCGTGACGCACGACTCAGACGGCGCGCAGGCAAGGTGGGCCCCGTGTGGGGGCCCGCAGGTGAGCTGGGTGCGCCGCCATAGGGCGAGGTCCGCGGCGCCCGGGGGCTGGCAGGTGCACCCGGGGGGCTGACCGCAGGTGCAGGCCCTGGTGAGGAAGCTGTGGCAGCAGCAGGTGCTGGCCCCGGGGGCGCACGGCGCACAAGGCGCGGGGAACCCAGTGCCAGCGGCCCGACAAGTGGGCGAGCCACCTGTGGACAGAAGCTCATAGCCACTGCCTGCTGCAGCGTGGCAATGGCAGAGGTGACCTGTGGTGGCGGTGGTGGTGGGAAGAGCCCCACACGCTGGCCCAGCTCAGCCTGCTGTACCATCTCGCGGTCATACTTGACAATCTCCTGGATGATTGCGTTCTCCTGGTTGTTGAACACGCCTGAGCTCAGGTCATGCTGCACCTTGTGCAGCAGGATGGAGTTCTTCTTGCCTAGGAGCAGGATGAGCCGGGTGAGTGCGGCACCTGCTACACGGAACACTGGCTGTGTATAACAATCGCACACTGGGCGACTGCTGTATGTAGATACAGTACATGCAGATTTTCTGCTGTGTCGAACAAGCAGCTACTGAGATCCTGCTCTATGCATCTTGCATTTGTGTGGTAGTTACAATGTATAGGAAGCAGCTGTAGAGCCCCTGCTGTATGCAGCAAGCTTACCTGCAGTGCCTGCCCGTGTAGAGAAGTATGTAAGTGCCCAGTGTGTACAAGCTGAAGATCTGTGGTGTGGAGCAGGCAGATGTTGAGCGCCTGCTGCAATGCAACAAGTGTGTGTGGAGCAGATCTCAGTGCCTGCTTTCTCCAGGCAGAGCCTTGCTATGTGTAGCAAGCACAAGAAATGCCTGCATATTGAAAGCAAGTCCTCAGGCCTACTTAGTACAGCAAACATGGAATGTGTTTTGCATGCAGCAAGTACATGGAGACCCAGCTGTGTATACACACCTGCTGCATGTGATTGTGTGCTGCATGCCTACTGTGTGCAGCACTGTCCAGGGCCAGGTGCCCACTGCTCACATGCATGCTGAGCACCTCCCACGGACAGCAGACAAGCATGTGTGGTGTATTTGCTGCATCTCAGAAGGCCCTCTGAAGCCTCCACACCCTGCCCCATCCTTCCCAGCCATAATTGCTTCTTGGTGGGAGCTCTACTCTCCCTGTCCCTAAGGCCACATGCACCTACCACGTTGACCACTGTCTTCCTCCCAAGGTGTTGGACCCCAGAATGGGAATCCAAACAGCTTCTCCATGCCCCACCTAGAACCTTGCTTCCTAGGACTTCTGCTTTACTGTTTGAACTTCCCCTATGGCTCACTCATATTTTTGAGAACTTCCCCTATGGCTCACTCATGTTTTGAGACAAGGTCTGTCTTTGCCGTCCAGGTTGGCCTTGAATTCACTCCTCCCTCAGTCTCCCAAGTACTGGGATTACAGGTGTGCACCACCATACTTGGCCACCTAAGGGCATGCCTGTCTGGTATGACGTGACCTCCGGGCACACCCTGTCCCCTTGCCCTCAGCAAACATTTGTCAAGTGAGCAGGAACTGCACATAGCCTGAGGCACCCCAGCTCCTCTTCCATGCAAAAGGGAGGAGTCCCCAGCTAGTCAGTATGCCCTGGCTCACCGATGCGGTCCAGGCGGTCGATGGCCACCGTCTCAAAGGCACGCCGCATCATGGGGTACTCCTCCAGCACCTCATTGAAGTTGTCTACGCTGAGCGAGTAGAGGCGGCAGTAGGTGTCAGCACGCACACTGGCTGTGCGCCTGCCCCGAGTGAGCAGGCAGATCTCTGCAGACAAGTGAAAGTGGCTCAGATGTGCCCCAGTCCTGCCCGGCCTACCCCCTGCAGCCCACAGTGGCTCCAGTCCTCACCCCCAAAGTAGGAGCCATCAGACAGCTTCATCTCCTTGTTGCCTTTAGTGAGCACACTGACCACGCCGTGCTGGATGAAGTACATTTTCTTGCCGATGGTGCCCTCGCGGATGATATAGTCACCCGGCTGAAAGACCTCAAACTTGAGCTTGGTCAGCATGGCCGTAACGAAGTTGGGGTCGGCGTTGGCGAAGAGTGGCATGGAGGCCACCAGCTTGCGGCAGTTGAAGTTGACAATCTCCTATGGGGCAGAGTGGGCAGGAGGAGGCTCTGTGTCACCCTGCCTTAGTGGGGATGGGTGGGTGTCTCAGACCTCAGGCCGGTACTGTGGCCTAGCAGCCAGCATCTTGCTCTACAGACAAGGCCAGTGATTCTGCCAGCAAGGCTAGGCACAGGATAGCAGTGTGGGGGCCCTACCCTGGCACCATGTAGGAGGACTAGTCAGAGAAACCGGATGAGAAAAGCTGGTTAGGGAGAACTGAGAAGGAAGGTGAGTGTGGGCAGATGACACAACCTAGAAAATCTGAACAAATCCAGGAAGTGGCCAGATGTGATGGCACCCCCGGAGTACACAGTGAATTCCAGGCCAGCCTCAACTACACAGCAGTATCTCAAGAACTGGATGGAAGAAAGAACAAAGGACCTTGTAGCACAAGTCGGGGTGATAGCTGCCCAAGCAAGGTAACCCCTAGGGGTTGACAGACACTGGTCTGTCTTTGATGTGGTTGACATTACCAGGGAATTTACCATAGGTCCAGCTGTGCTCCAGTAATGTGGGCCTTTTCTGTAAGACATGTTTCAACAGAAAGAAAATCTGACATTACCAAGAAAATAAAATCAGGGCCAGTGAGATAGCTCAGTGGTCTAAAGTTCCTGCTCAGGCAAGCTTAGGTAAGTGCAGGGGCTGCATGATTTGAATCCTGGCACCATATGCCTGCCAGCCCTGCCCCCAGGGTAGGCTGAGCTGGCCACACACACACACACACACACACACACCACCACCACCACCACCACCAACAACAACAACAACAACAACAACAAAGAAAACCAAACAGATTTTAAGAAAATAAAAGCACTCTGGAGAAAGCTCATGAATGGGCAGAGGTGTTCACATGACATAGCCCGGAGAGATGGCCTGGCACAGCTTTAACCAGAGGGACCAGAGCTGCAAGGTTAACACTCTGGGAACCTGAGGCAGGGGCATCCGGAGTCAAGCCCAGCTTAGGTAACTTAGCAACTTAAGGAGATGCTGTTTCAAAGCAAAAAACTTTAAAAGGGCTGGGGATGTAGCTCAGTGTGAAAGCCCTGGGTTCCATCCCCAGTACTGAGAGGAAAAAAAAAAAGGACAAGGTTTGTTTATTTTTAAAACTGAAGCTAGTCAAGGTCATTTAGAAGAACAAGTTAGCAAAACCCAGCAGGAATCAGATGAGAAATGAGCGCAGGGAGGCGGGACCTGTGAGTCACTACTGGGCTGGCGCAGCGGGGGTCAGAAGCAGGGCTGGCGTCTGACTCAGTGGTGAGCGTCTGCCTCGCACGCATGCAGCTCTGGGGCCCACTGCTGGCACCAAGAAGATCCAAGCTGGGTGAGATGGTGCACACCTGTCATCTTAGCACTCTGGGGGGCGGGGCAGGGGGGGCTTAGGCAAGATCTGAAGTTTGATGCCAGCCTGGGCAATTTAAGAGATTTAGCAGATCCTGTCTCACAAAATAAAAAAGGGAATGGGGATGGAGCTCAGTACAAAGGCCCTGGGCTCAATTCCCCAGGACTGAAAACAAAAAATTCCAGAAACGGATCCCCATAGACTGGATTTTAGCAAAAGGTAAAAGGTACTCATGTACATGAGTCACCTGCAGTCGCATGGACCTGAACCCTGTCTTACACTATGAACCAGGAAAATCCAAAGGGGCCGAGGACCTAAGGGTCTGTACAGAAAGTACTACAAGAAAAGTGAATTTCTTTATGAGCTGGGTGGCTACAACAGGCACATATTGCACTCCTGCGGAATATAGCAAACAGGGACCAGAACCTACTGTGCACAGCCAGTTTATGTTGTGCCTGCCACATCCAAAAAGAAGGCATTAAGCATCTTCTTCCTCTAGCAAGCAGATAAATGATGGCTCCTGCATGAATTGTTTATCCAGCACCTACTGTGTGTAGCACTTGTTGGACACAGTGTGAAAAAATCTGAGCCTAGGGGGCCTGTCCCTTAGCTC